TGTTTGTAAGAAGCAATGTTTTTCATAATGTAAGGCAGCTTCATATGTAAGTGATGGGGATCAGGGACTTGATAGAGGGCTACTAGAACCTTTCACCTCTACTGTAGATTATACATTTAAATCTGGCCCAGGTCGGTAGTGGCCCTTCGATGTCAGCTTGGTAGCCTATTTGAAAAGCACTACACTATACACACCTGCATCAGCATCCTCCTTGTCCGTCTCAGCAACAAGGCCAAGGACTGACTGGACTGTGGTAACTGACCCATCCTCTCATCCATAGCAAACTAGATCCAGTACTACATTCACAGGTTTAAAAGAATGCTCTAATCCAGCAGTGCTCACCATCACTACCAGTGGCCTGCAGCCTCTTTCTTGCCAGGCCATGACTGACCCATTGTGAGAAGCACACACCAGGGAAGTGGGAGAGGAAGGGGTCCTTGGTGAGAATTTTGCCCTTACAAAATGGGCCGTACTGTGAAAGAGTTGGAGAACTGTTGAAGTCTTTTGAAACTCACCAAATCCATCTAACAGTGCTCCTCAACATGCTGACCCACAAGCCTCATCTTCTGGTACAAAGTATTTGACAGATTCTTTGCCCCTCCCCCCACTCCCCACCGCACCCCAAAATATAGTTACATTACCAAATAGGCCGGCAATCCCAGGGTGTGGTTAACGACATGCCTGCTGATTAAAGCATCTGCAGAGTGCCAGACTGGTTTGTTTTCTCAGGTTTTACTAATCTCACACCCTCTCTTCTGAGATGAGAAAATCATACCACCTCTGTGCCTCTATTTCCCCTCCTCCCATTTCTCTCTTGTCTATTTACATGGTAAAGGACTGGGTCTTCCTATGTGTTTATGTGGGGCCTCAGTCTTGGTTGGCACTTTTGTAATCAAATAAAACAACAAACAAACAAATACATAATAGCAATACACTGAAGTAAAGTATCTGGAGTCTGAATCTCCTAAATAGATTTTAAGGTCAAAATGGACCATCACATCATCTAGTCTGGCCTCCCAGGTAATATAAGCCACAGAGTTTCACCTAGTGATTCCTGTGTTAAGCCCATAACTTCTGGCTGAGCCACAACCAATTTTTTTAGAAAGTTACTCAGCCTTAAAGACTGCAAATGATGGGGAATCCACCAGGTCCCACACTAAATTGTTCCAGTGGCTAATTACCCTCACTGGTAAAACTCTGCACTGTATTTCCAGTCTGACTTTGTCTCGCTTCAGCTCCCAGCCACTGGATCTTGTTATACCTTTGTCTGCTAGATTGAAGATTCTTCTTCTATCTGAAATCTACCTACCCGGGTAGGCACTTACAGACTGTGATCAAGTCACGAATAATGCTAATTATGGGTTTTATTAATTATTCAAGATTTATTATATTACATATGTAGATTATGATAGTGAGCAAAGGCCCAATCAGGATCAGGCCCGATTGTGCTAGTCGTACAAACCCATAAGAAAATGCTGTCCCTGCCCCCAAAAGGCTAGTTAGTATCTAACCAGACAAGAAAACAGACCCACAACAGAAGATAGACAACATACAAGCAAAATGCTCCAGAATAACATACATCTGAATTCCAATTCAAAATAAAAGATGTTTTTTTCCCCAAGTCACATCCTAGCCCAGCTCAGCCCTCTGCTCAGGTGCCTCAGCCAACATGCTCCACTACTTCTAAGGGCTTGTCTACACTTAAAACGTGGTGATCGATGCATCGACAGTCGCTTTAGCAGGTCTAGTGAAGACTTGCTAAATCGACCGCAGATCGCTCTCCCGTCGACTCCTGTACTCCACCTGAACGAGAAGCGCAAGGGGAGTCGATGGGATAGCGTCTCCCATCGACATAGCGTAGTGTGGACCCTGAGGTAAGTAGATCTAAGTACGTTGACTTCAGCTCACTTGCGTAACTTAGATCGTAGTTGCATAACTTAGATCGATCTCCCCCCCGTAGTGTAGACAAGGCCTAAGTGTGCTCTCAACCAGTCAGGACCTCACTATACTAAGGTCTGTACAAACACAGAGTAAATAGCCTCTACCCCAGTGGTTTTCAAGCTTTTTAGGCTGCATACCCCTTTCCAAATATTGTAGTCTACCACGTACCTCCATCTGCAGTAGGGTCATACTATACCTATGATTAGATTGCCAAGTCTTTCTGAATGAAAGGCACTGTCCGTCATTACAGGATTTTTCTCTCATGCCCTCTGACGACAGCTTGTGTACTCCTAGAGCTATGCATACCCCAGTTTGAAAAACCACCGCTCTACCTCCAAAGAGTTTATAATCTCTGCTACTTCCACCTCCCAAATCCCTTTAGTACCATCACCACCCAAAGTCCTTTTACTCCTTATAAGTGCTCAAAGCTAGCCAATGAGCCAACCCTCTGATCACTCTGGCACTAATTAGACCCCACAGAGCAATCTGATTAGGGATTGGGATGCAATTAGCTAATCAAGTTGAGGGGTGGGTGCTAGAGGATTAATTAGCCCATAAATTGAGGATAGATTAAAAAGTACAGGAAGTGCTGAGGGGGCAGGAGCACATCTAGCTGAATCCAAATTCATTTCAGTCAGATCTCAAGGAAGGGAGCGCTCTTCTTCTCTTGGGCCTGGGGGAGCAGGCTGATGATACAAGGGCTGCAGTAAATAATACATCCACACAAAACTTTATAGGTGTTGGTGGAGGGAACATAAATAAATGGCATTACCTAACCAGTGGAGTCTGAGCAGATTTCTGTGGTGCATAACAGTGGGAGCAGAATGCATCCTGCTACATTCCTGGTTTGCTCAGCTGGCGGGGGGCTGATATTATTTTACAAAAATATTTTTTCCCAAGTTCTGCTACGAGCCTAATTTTAATAAAGGCTCCTTCCCCCACACCCAGGAGACAATGAACATGCAGGTACAGGTGCCCTCTGACACCCTGAGGGCATGTGCACTATCCACAAGCAGGGCCAAATTTGCAACTGCTGTATCTCAAGTAAATGGAATGCACCAACTGGGCATTTGGCCCTTGGTCTCTTCTCCTCCCCCAATTTTTCTCTGCTCAAGTTGTAACAAAAAATATAGAGGGCTGGGCCCCATGCAGTAATCTCAAGGGGAGAAGGGGTGGCAGGTCTGAAAAGCAGTCAGAGTTGAGTGTGCTCCAGTAAACAGCTGGACTAGATGGGTTTAAAATCAGGGAATAAAAAATAAACTATCTGAGACAAATTCATGGCCAGTCGAGACAGAGAAAGAAAGATGAGAAGCTCATTTTGGGAATGAAGGAAAGCAAGCCAGGCAGCATTGCTGTTGCCAAGGGGTTTGGATTTTTTAAGCCCTTCCCTTTCATTTTGTCCAAACTTTGAGAGATGTCCTTTTTCTTAGAAACATTAGTTTGGGTAATACTTTATTTTACAGGGGTTATCAATTTCATTTGGGGGGGTATTTTTAAGCAATTTTTGAGTTTTATGTCAGTATCCCCAAACTGGGGGTTTGGGGGCTTTCTCGTTAGATGTCCTGCAATGAGTTGTAACAGCACTATGTTAAAGTGCACGAGGGAACCTTTAATGTGCACCAGCAGGGTCCACACAGACCAAGTAATGCGCAGCATGTTTGTGCTGTTTAAAAATCACACCCTCATAGTATGAATTACTGGTCTTTCTCGACAAGCTCTTAGATACAAATAAACATTTCTCATGTTTTTCACGTGTTTCCTGGATAACCCCCAATTTCATTTTTGGCTTGGGGGTGTGTTATCAGTGCTTATCAGTTAAAACTGAAAGTCTGAAGCCCTAATGAGGTACGTGTGGGGCCTGAGAATGCAGGATCAGACTGGCGCTATAGAGCCAATCAGACTCTCTGTAAAAAAGGAATACCTCTTGCCTTGTGGGTTATTTAACTGAGTTTGTTTGTCTTACACACAGGAAACAAACATATGGCTCCACAATCAGGGAACACAACAGATATCCTAGTACTAAAACAAATTGCACATCAGCATTCCCCAAATTTTAGAAAGCGGAGCCTCTCTTTTGGGATAAGGAATCCAGTTATGTCCTCTGTGTAAGGCCTCCTCAAAATGAGCAGTTACTTAGGCCATGTCTACACTACAAAATTAAGTCGACCTAACTTACGTTGGCATACAGCCACCACAGTAATTATGTTGCTTGTGCATATCTACACTTTGCTCCTTGCATCAGTAGTGTGCGTCCTCACTAGGAGTGTATTGATTGTACTGTCAGTGTGAGGCACTGTGGGACGGCTCCTGAAAGCCAGTAACAGTCGACATAAGCAATGCAGTGTTTACACTGACACTGCGTCAACCTAACTACATCGACTTTGACTCTATGCTGCTCATGAAATGGAGTTATTAAGTTGGCATAGCAGTTGTTTCGTCAGCTGGTATGAAATATAAGTGCAGACACTTCCATAGTTAGGTTGACGTAAGACCACAGAGTAGATTGTGTTGCTTTTCCTTGTATGATACTTCCTTGCCTTCCTTCCATGCTTTGTTGAGTAGTGAATTAATTGACAACGTTGACATCATCACCGGCATATAGTTAGTGTCCATTGAAATGAACGGGGCAGTTCACACTCTCTGCAAACTCATGCAGACGTCGTCTCTGCATCAGTTACACTCAGGTCACATGTTCACAGTTTTCTTCGCAACCAGTTCAGCTAAAGGCTTTTTAAATGAAAGCCGAGACTCTGGAGAACAACTAATAGGCCTGTTCATGTCAGCTAGTCTTTTTTGTCATCCCTTCCCATCACCTCCCTCGGCACCCTCCCTCGGGGGGTTTTGTACGGAAGCCTATATAATTCATCCTTGATTAGGGGTAACATTTTCAGAAGCACCAAAGTAACTTAGGAGCCTACATTCCATTTTAAAAAGTGACTTAGGCACTTGGGTGCCCAGTGAAAATAGGAGTTAGGCTCCTTAGGCGCTTGTGAAAATGTTACCCTGTGCCACCTGTATACATATAAGCCTGACATTTAATCAAACTCTGACACCTCATGTCTGGTTTCAGTTCTTTATTTCCCAGGTACTTTTTCACAGATTTTCTATCCAGGTTTTGAGCTGAAGCCGATTCTCTGCTTTTCTGGGCTCAGGCCAGTGGTATCTGCATTCGCTTTTTCCATGATCTCTCCTGAGTGTGACTAACACTTTCTGTCAGGGTTGGGTAACCAGGCATATCTCTGAAAACAAAACAAACCCATTTACTACATTTTCTGTTGTTCTTTAGACTGTTTTCTCAGCCTACCTCTGGCTCCCCCACTGGACAAAATCACAGTAAAGGTGCCAATAGATTTTCCTGCTTTGGTACTGCTCCTGACGTCATCTCCCTGTGTAAGGGAAGCCTTGTAGGTGAAGCTCATCATTAAAGCTGGGCTATTCTCAGCTCTTCCACAGATTTCCTGTGTGACATTGAGCAAGCCACTTTAGCCTCTCTATGGCTCAGTTTCCCCCTCTGTAAAATGGGCTAATCCTTCTCTTCTTCATAGGAAGATTGTGAGGTTTAGGTGCTTTGAGATCCTTGTTTGGAGGTTGCTATAACAACATAAAATATTATATAAGTGGGATCTAATCTGTATGCTATTGATGTCTTGGTGAGGGACTTACCAATAGACTTGACCATGTCCATCCATCTCCCCCAGCAGGAAAGCATACATTGTCTTGAGTCTCACCTGATGTTCTCTATGCCCACTGTTCTGAAAACGACCAGTCTGATGCTGCATCTGATTCTGCCTCCTTGCCTGCAGGCAGTCTTGTTTCACCTTCTTCCACTTTTCTCTCTATTTCCACCACCCTCCTAGCCAGGTGGTCACACTTCGTGTCAACATGCCATACTTAGTCTTCTCTTTCAGTTCTGTGCATCTCTTGTCATGCTCCCAAACCTTTCCTTTTCCTACCTGTCAGCCATTGCCCCTCTCATCAAAAGCCACTTCTTCAGCTGCAGATGGATTTGACCTGCTCCCTCTCAGCCTTACAGAATGGATGCTATGGGGCTACAGTTATTTGCATTCCTCTCTTGTTGTAAGCCCTTCAGTGCCCCAGCAGTGACAGGGAGATTCCAATGGAAGCATTGTTAGGACAGTCTCCCCCTTCACCCAGTTGACCACACAAGGCAAAAATGGGACTGACCAACGTGCCATATACAGATACCCATTGGACAGATGAAATCACGACAGACAGTGATGAATGGCCTTCATTCCAGTTTGTTTTCCCATTAAATACCATTTTCGCAGATTCGGCCAAAATATTCAAAAGTAGCCATTGATTATGGGTCCCTTAATTCTGGTGTGTCCAACATGAGATCCTTAAAGGGGCCTGATTTCAGAGATGCTGAGCACCCACAACTCTCACTCTCTTGCATTTCTGCCTTTGGTTAATCAGTCCTGGTCTGCAAAGGTCAGGTGAGACCTTTGGGCCTGAGGCTTTTCAGCATTAAGGGCTAGTGACTGTGGTTCACCTTGCATAGGTGCAAAAGGGGAGAGGGAGGTCACCTCTTCCTGTGACCCTACGTCAGAGCCATGCACAACATGGCTGGGGAGCATGATACTCACAGGTAACTAGTAGCTTTTGAGAGATAGCCATCCCGAAAATGGCAAAGAGAAGTCGGCTCCAGGTAGTGCCAAGACCCTGCTAACTCTCTACACATTAGCCAGCAGGTGGCTGGAGAGGACATGCTACCTACCCCCTCTCAGGGGTGCTGGGGTTGGCATTACAGTGAACTGCCCCAGCCCCTTTGGAACCCCAGAAAGAATTCCTTCTCCACTCACTCTGTGGCTCTGAGCAGCGATCCGGCCTGGTCAGCTGATGATGGGCAACAAAGAAACCAGAACAGTTATCGAGCTCCCTCCTGCACCGAATTACCCCTGAGCTCTGAGTGTTGGGAGCGATCTCCTGGTGCCGATGTAATTTGTTTGTGTGGCGTGTGTCAGCAGAGCCCTGCACGTGTTCAGTTTCATAATGCGCTCTATGCAGTAAGCTCTCACTCCCTGCAGGGAACGGCTGCGGTTTCATATTTCATTTCCCTTGTACAGTACACCCAGATTCCAGTTGCTTTCTGGCTTCACTGCAGTGCATTACGCAGAGCACAGGTCCTGCACATATCCAGCAGAGACAGACAGGGCTTCTCTCAGTTCCAGGCAGTGGACCATGAAGATGTCAATTTTATTTTCACTTTGCATCTTTGGTTTCCCTGGCTTTTCCCAGGGCAGGGTTGTTGGAGTGGATGAAGCTGGCTTTGCTGAATGCAATGAGTTCTTTTATGGAGAAACCCCACCAGAAGGATTTACAGAGTCTTTCCATGTGAAAATCTGTCAGCAGTACAACAAAGAGCCACGCTTTGCAACGCTCTACAGCATGGAGGACAAGACCCCTCTTTATTCTGCTTTTAAATACACAAAAGCAGCTCAGAGAGGGGAGGAGAGCTGGATGGTTGAACCGCAGGTAAGTCAATTTCCCCAATAGCTGTCAAGCAAATCTTCTCAAGAGTTAAGGCATGTCTTTATCCTGGGCTGTTGGGGGTGGAATTTTGCAAAGAAGTCAGGGAGCTGTGAAATCCTTCTAGACACTAATGTATTAGAAATAGTATTTATTCTTGGGTTCAACCCTGGACAAATCCATGGTCTCTTGTCCCAAAGTGCTTACAATGAAAACTGAAAGGCATTGCATTCAAAATGGAATAAGAAAAAGAGAAAGAAAAGGAAGGATTTCACACTTTAAACCACCAGATCTGTCTATCTACCTGAGAGAGACAAGGTGGATGAGGTAATATCTTTTATTGGCCCAGCTGCTGTTAGTGGAAGATACAAGCTTTCAAGCTTCACAGAGGTCTTCTTCAGGTCTGTCAGAGCTCTGTGAAGCTCAGAAGCTTCTCTCTTCCACTAACAGAAGTTGGTCCAATAAAAGATATTCTCTCACCTACCTTGTCTCTCTGGGATCCTGGGACCAACACGACCATAACACTGCAAACTATCCAGCTAGCTACCTGGTAGCTATTACACAACACAGAGGGAGGTGGCTAATACGGTTAAAAGTTTCAGTGACAAGTTGATGTTTGTTCTATTGCCAACACCGATCCAGTAGCTGATAAGAGCTCATTAACTTCATTGCACTGGAATGAAACCCACATTTGTGATTCACACAATTGACGCTATGGCAGTTCTTTGTGTCCCTCTGTTGTGGATACTGTAGCTGGAAAGAGAGGTGTAGCATAGTGCCCTGCAATATGAAAGTTTTCAGTCAAGGCAGGAGAATTCAGTTAAAAAAAATGTTATCTGAGTGTCAGTTGGTCTTGTCTATACTGCCACTTTGCATGTTTAGCTGACTCCTTAGGGTTGTTATGTTATAGCGTTCACCCTTAAATCCTTACCAGTGGCCTAAGAGAGCTGAAGAACTTTACTTTGATATTTGCAGTATTCAAGGTATTTCACTAGTAAGTGTAGGGTAATACTGCACATACTGAAGTAACCTGATCTATTCAGCTAAAGCAAAACTGGAGCATATTAAGGGTGACCACTTAGCACTGACGATTATTGTTTGTACTAGAGTAGCACCTAGTCTAAAAGGCCCCATCTAAAATCATGGATCCTTTGTGCTAGGCACTGTACAGACATACAGTAAGAGACGGTCCCTGCCCCAAAGAGCTTACAATCGAAATATACAAAGGGACTTGCTATTTTCCTCATTTTCCAGATGAGGAACTGAGGCTCACAGAGACTGAGTGACTTGCCCAAAGTCACACTGAAAGAACTAGAATTGAACCCAGCTCTCCTTATAGATGCTGGAACTAGGGCTTGAAGTGGTTTCCATTCTAAACAGGGTTTGCAATTTGGTTAAATGGCTCTCAGCAACCCCACTATAAAAACTGTTCCAGCACCCCTGGCTGACCTGAGTCCCTGTCTTAGCCACAAGCTCCTCCTTCCTCTCTGTCACTGTAGCGGGTGTTCATTGTTGGCTGTTCATCTAGCATTGTTCCATTTTATGCAAATGCCTGTCAAAGGTGGCCACCTGCCATCTGAAAAAGAGAAAAGCCTTTTAAAAGCCATGTAATTACCAAGCTGAATAATGCATAGGAATCTTTAATAGCTGTAGGCACAAAAGGACCTAGACAAGAGAACATCATCTGCCAAATGTGTCACATAGGCAGCAGAACCCAGCGACAAGGAAGGTGCCCTTCCCAGCTGCCGAGCCCTCCTGCACCAGCCAGGCACAAGCGTACCCAGCCTGACCCTTACTTCCAGATGCCATATCTCCCTGTGTTCTCTTCCAAGCACCCAGGCCTCCTACATACCTCACACTAAGCACCTTGAATTTGTTCCTGCACCCAACTGTCAACCCTCTTATTCCCTTCCCCCAGCCACCCACGCCCTCCCCAAACACACATCCACGACTCAGCAGCCAAACCTCCTTGGCACTCAGTGACTGGCCTCACCCCCAGCTGCTAAAACTTCCTTGCTGCAATAGTTAGTTTCCTGTTTCAAAAATCTAGTCACGTTCACAGGGGTCTTCCCCTTGGTCCCCTCTTCTCATCAGTCCCGATTATAGGCCTGTCATTCCTGAGCAAGTGCAGCAATTTGAGAAACCACTGCATCCCTGCACATTCTACACTGAATTACCTTGGACAGTCACTATTTTATAATAAGTAGAACCTCAGAGTTATGAACACCTCGGGAATGGAGGTTGTTTGTAACTCTAAACAAATGGTTATGGTTGTTTTTTCAAAAGTTTACAACTGAACATTGACTTAATACAGCTTTGAAACTTTACTATGCAGAAGAAAAATGCTGCTTTTAACCATCGTAAATTAAACACAGAAACAGTTTCTTTACCTTGTCAAATCTTTTTTTTTTTAACACTTTCCCTTTATTTTTGTAGTAGTTTAGGTTTAACACAGTACTGTACTATACAGTATTTGCTTTTTAAAATTTTTTTGTCTCTGCTGCCTGATTGCATATTTCTGGTTCCAAATGAGGTGTGTGGTTGACTGGTCAGTTGGTAACCCTGGTGTTCATAACTCCGAGGTTCTACTGTATACTTAAAAATCAGGGCTTGAAATAAAGTGGTGTTTTACCCACAAAAGCTTATGCCCAAATAAATCTGTTAGTCTTTAAGGTGCCACTGGACTCCTCGTTGTTTTTGCAAAAAGAAAAGGAGTACTTGTGGCACCTTAGAGACTAACCAATTTATTTGAGCATGAGCTTTCGTGAGCTACAGCTCACTTCATCAGATGTTTACCGTGGAAACTGCAGCAGACTTTATATACACACAGAGAATATGAAACAATACCTCCTCCCACCCCACTGTCCTGCTGGTAATAGCTTATCTAAAGTGATCAACAGGTGGGCCATTTCCAGTGAGAAAACCTGGATTTGTGCTGGAAATGGCCCAAAGTGAGAAAACCTGGATTTGTGCTGGAAATGGCCCACCTGTTGATCACTTTAGATAAGCTATTACCAGCAGGACAGTGGGGTGGGAGGAGGTATTGTTTCATATTCTCTGTGTGTATATAAAGTCTGCTGCAGTTTCCACGGTAAACATCTGATGAAGTGAGCTGTAGCTCACGAAAGCTCATGCTCAAATAAATTGGTTAGTCTCTAAGGTGCCACAAGTACTCCTTTTCTTTTTTGCGAATACAGACTAACACGGCTGTTCCTCTGAAACTCGTTGTTTTTGTGGATACAGACTAACATGCCTATCCCTCTTAGCTGCTCTGACTTCACACAGTGTAACACCATTGACTGCAATGGAGTTATTCCAACTTTGCATCAGTGTCTGGGAGATCAGAATCTGGCCCCAGTGAGCCCTGCTTGATTTTGATCAATGATGATGTGAGATAAAGGGGGAGCTTTAGATTTTCCTTCCCTGTACTGAGCTGCTGTGAAATGTGCTAGACCAGAGAAATCCAGTTTGCATTCTCTGTCTAACCAGATCCATTTGCTGTATTTAAAAGGCCCATTCCCTTCACTTTTGCTTGTTGTTTTGTTTTGCTTTTAGTTTTCAATCTCCAAGTGTTCCCTAAAACAAAACTGTTGTTCCTATTTAAAAGACTGGACCATTTAAACACAAATATGGATCTAGGTCAATATAGACAAAGCAGACTCCTTAATACCAACAACAGCTTAATCAAGGAGCAGAGATTGCCAGACAAAAAGCCTTATCTATGGAAATCCTTGAAAAGCAATGCTTTAACGTAGCTCCAAGGATCTGATCTTTGACATTGGTGGGAGCTGTGCCTGAGAAGGGATTGCAGTGTAGTACAGAAGCAATTCTCATGGTATTTGCCATTAAAGCACAACAAGATCTTGCTATAAATTCTGCACATAACTAGGCAATGCAAAAGCACCCTATTATTTTTGTTCCCCTGTCCTCCCCTCCTTGCTCACTTGTTTCATCCTCCTATTATGTCTTGGGTTTTAGACTATAAGTTTTCTGGGGCAGGGGATGTCATTAACTATATGTTTATACAGTGTCTAGCACAATAGGACCCTGTCCTAGTTGACTCCGCTAGGTGGTACCCCCATACATTACATAATGTACTAAATAAAGTGTTAAAGGTTGCAAAGTCAAATACTCAAAAGTTAGGAAAGGCCAGAATTTAAGTTGCCTGTGCAACTTTAATACACACCCACCCTGCTTTGTACGCATGCATCATGATACAGTCTTTAATTATATCATCACATACCTGGTTTTTCACTTTACAGCTACCATATACACAGGCATCCCATTCAACAATCACTGAAATGCAGCCACCTCCATGGTGGAAGAAAGCAACTGATTACTACTGTGTGGCAACATTACACGGTTGTTTAGGACAGGAAGTGGAGAAACACACCTTCCACAATTGGCAAATAAACCTGTAATTGGGAAATCAGTTCTAAGAATCAAAACACTGAGGAGCAAGTGAGTGGATTTTTCTACAACTGTCTGGGCAAGTCTACACTTAAAATGTTGCAGCTGCACAGCCACGTAGCACTTTAATGAAGACGCTCTACGCCGATGGGAGAGAGCTTTCCCACCAGTGTACTTCATCCACCTCCCCGAGAGGCTGTAGCTGTGTCGGCAGGTTTGGTGGATTTTTCACACCCCTGAGTGACATAATTTTACCATTATAGGGCTGTAGTGCACTGCAGACCAGACCTCTGTCTCTCCAGAAATAAGCAAACAAAGGTGCAGCAGCGAGCAGAGGTGGTGCTAGCCCATTGGGGGCTTCCACACACACAAAACACATAATAAAAAGCAAATAAGGGGCCCCGTTGAGTTGCTCGGGGCCCTAAGCAATTGCTTTGTCTGCTTCTGCCTAGCACCGGCTCTGTCAATGAGTCATGCAGGTAGAAAGTGAAGACGAATAGTGATGATATTAGAGATTGCTCTGTGCGATGCTGAGTCAGACTGGGGCTCCTAAGGGAATCGGCACAGCACACGGCCCTCTAGCACATCTAGAAAAGTGGTGACACCAGTTATCATCAAAGTCATTTCATGAGTGATATGGACACAGCCATACGCACCCAGACATGACCGTGAAACATGCATGAACACAGTTATGTGCATAGATGCACACACAGACATAATGAAGTATATCACACAGCAACCTTTTTTCACTCTGGAGTGACTAAGGGTTATCCCAGGATATTTTGCAATAGATCATAATGTAACTTGGAACTTCACTTGTCTCCTCCAGTGTACCATGTCTGCTTCTTCAGGGAGGTATGAGGAATATTTGCCAAGAGTAGCACAGAGGTAGTAATCGGATGTGACATAAAGGGAATGTCAATAGCCTCCACTGTTGGTGTGATAAATGAAGGGGGAGGGGGTAGCTCCCTTTTACGGGCACCCAGCCAGCCAGTCGCTATGAAATCCCTCTGAGTAGCTGTTCTCTAATTCCTCTACCTATAAAGGGTTAAAAAGTGTTACCGCAAAAAACCAAAACCAAAACCAAACAACAACAAAAAAACATGTCAAGGCTAATTCCCCACTTTGGCAATTCTGGCACTGGTGGGGGCCTGCAAGGAGTCTAAAAATTAATACTTGCCACTCCAGGCTTGTATTAAACTTCCAAGGTTACAGCTTTTCTCTGACCTTGGATGGGTAGATGGTACCACCACCCAAGTGCAGAACCCCTTTGAGAACCCAGGAAGGCGCACTTGGGAATTCCTTCCTATGAGGTACCCTCAAACCCTTTCACCCCCTCTCCGGGGAAGACCTGAGAAAGAAAACACAAGAAATCAGCTGTTGCCACCAGCTAATTAAACAACACGTGCACAAACCTCTTAGCACACAAAAATCCAATTCTGTTCTTAAAAAGAGGTACATTTTATTAAAAAAACAAAAGGAAGAAAATACACCTGGGAACTTAGGCTACTGCTCGATTTAAAAAGAGCAACTACAAGGATTAAGCATCAAGAATAGTTTCTTGAGGTCCAGGTTAAAGGTTACAAGCAAAACAAAAGCACCTGGGGTTAGCTTAAAAGCATCCACAAGCCATAAAAAATAAAAATAAAAAAATCTAATCATGTCTTCCTAGACATTTCCTGATCTACTTATATATCTGGGGTTTTAAATTAGTAGTTTCTAGGTATGATACTGATGATTTTTCATACCTGGCCCAAAGCTTCTTACAGCACAGCTGCTCTGTCCCTTCTCTCTGGGAGAACAACCACAGACAAACAAAAGGGGAGTCTTGTTTCAATTTTAAAAAGTTCTAGCCTTCCCATTGGCTCTTTTGGCTAGGTGCCCACTCACTTCCTTTTACCTATGCATAGTTGTGAAACTTTTTAACCCTTTACAGGTAGAGCAATTAGAGAACAACTACTCAGAGGGATTTTATAGCTACTGGCTGGCTGGTGTCCATAAAAGGGAGATCCCCTCACCCTTCATTTATCACGGTTGGTTAGCCATGTGATGCGCAGTGATCCAGCAGTCAGGATTTTTAATGGAATATATTTATAGAGAAGAAGGATGGTCTAGTGGTTCGGGTGCTAGCAGGCACTGGTTCAATTCCCTGATCTGCCACAGCTTCCTGTGTGACCCTGGGAAAGTCCCTATGGGCTTATATACACAGGAACATCCAGGAAAGTTAAACCAAATTAACTGATTTCAGAGTAACAGCCGTGTTAGTCTGTATTCGCAAAAAGAAAAGGAAAAGGTGCCACAAGTATTCCTTTTCTTTTTGCAAATTAACTGAATGTGTGACTTTGAAGTGGATTTGTTAAACTGTATTAAATCCCCTGTGTGGATGCTGTTATTCAGCATTAAAGTAGCCTTATTTCACTTTGGATCAGGACGAGATCCCTGGCGTGCAGCCTGGGACAGTGGGACCGCTGTGCCCCCTTAACTCTCCAGCCTGGGCTGTCTCTCACAATGTTTTGCTAGTGACAAGCAGCAAACTCTTCCAGGCACTGTTATCACTCAGCACAACCTCATGTGGAGCCCCACACCCAGCTAGATCGCATGAATGTTCCCAGAGCCATTCATGAATCACACAGAGAAAGGCACCAGTCAAATCCCCCCAGCTCCAAGCCTTGTACCTCAGGAATATACCATCTTGCACTGCTCAAGACAAGCAGCGCAAGTTTATTAATTGGTTCACCATGTCATCAATGGAAAGTGGACACACACCAGCTTTTGTAAACCTGAGCAGATTTCCAAACACTTCAGGCAACCTCACTGGTAAAGATAAACAGTTAAACAAATTTATTGACTACAAAAGATAGATTTTAAGTGATTGTAAGTGATAGGCAAAAAGTCAGAGTGGTTACCAAAAGAAAAGAAAATGTAAGCATGCAGACTAAACTTTCAA